TATAAATATACCATAAATATATCCATAAATATATATATAAATATATATATATATATATTTATGTATATATTTATGGACATCATAGAAAGATTCTTTATATACAATTAAAGTTTGAAAGTAAAGCTTTGCTGTGGCTGTTGTGCAGCTATTTGATTTAAGAATTTATGAGCCTCTTGATAATGAGGACTTGTTTCCATGACAACTTTCTCCATCCAAGCAGTCAAACGTGGTCTTCCTTTTTTTGGATCGTAACCGGCCATTCCTACAAAAAAGAATTCTTGATTATTCAAATCTTAATCACGATGTATATCATATTGTCTTAAATCGAAAGATAGCTTACGCGGTTGTTCCAATTCACAAGCACAGAATATATCAGCCACGCTAATCGTGTTTCCTGTCAGAAACGGCTTATCTTTCAGCCATACATTCTCAATAATGTCAAGACAATCGTTCATACGACTTTCTAATTCGGCTACCTTTTCCGGTTTTGGTGGCTTACCTCGCATTAGCGGATTAAGAAACTATTTTTAAAAAATATGTTTAAATATTCAACGAATACATTTTTAAAGAAAACATTTCAAAAGAATACATTTTTAAAGAAAAGAAAGCATTTACTTTCGCTAAAAAATACGCTGCACAATGAAGTCTTGTGTTGAGATGCTGCCACTCGAGATATTCATCAACCTTCGCTTGTTTTTTCGACTCGGAAGGATACCAATGATCATCCACTTCAAATTCTCGGCATATGTATCGCGTAATCCCTATACTAAAACAATTAAAGGCTATTAAAAATAATTAAATAGGGATATTTTATTTATAATTCTGTTACTCTGTGAAAAGAATAATACCTTTCACCAAGGTTGAAACCATCGTGCTCTATAACAGGGACTTTCTTATATGGATTGATCCGTTCAAATTCTGAAGTATATTGTTCGAGATTCTTCAGATTTATAATCTTCTTTTCGAACGGTATATTCCACGTTTTGAGAAGTATATATATTGCTCTCGAAGGTTGTGAAAGTAAATCGTAATACAACTTCAAAGTCATGATTCAGAAAAAAATTCTAAGAAAGAATAAAAATTAAAAGAAATAAAGAAAACTTAGAATTAGATAAAACGTCTTAAGCCATTATTTTTGTACTTATTTTAATCCTTCATGTGTAATTTCGATTTTTTTATCCAGACTAAGTTTTTTTACTGTTCTAGACTTTTAAAAAATATGGAAAAATTCAGGATTACTTTTTAACATCTTTATTACTAAATAATTTTGTTTAAATATTTAAACCTTTATTTAATAAAAATTAAATTTTAAACAAAAATAAAAAAATTCGAAAATAAAATCTTCCTTGTGCCAAAAAATTACATGGAGTCTTAAAAAATAGATGGAGTCTTAATATAAAACGTGTGCGTGTGCACATTGTGGTTCATAATTCATGAAATTTAAGAATTTATCACTTTCCCAAGATAATCACTTTGAAATAAGATTATCCATATTGAATAAATTTTAAAGCCTCACAATATGCTGTATACGTTGCAGTGTTATTACAAATTTGGTTTGAAACCGATAATTGTTTATTCATATTTGAGGTGACACTGCCATTTATACGTAACCAAAATAATCTTTTTTTTTTTTTAATAAAGGGCCATTATAGTATTGCATTGTTAATTATTGGATGTCGTAATTTTAAGGATTTATGCCTGTATTCATATTTCAGACTTTTTAAAGCTTCGATCCTTAAATTTATCTTTAGATATTCAGTAGCCAATAAAATAATTCATATCTGAAGATAATTTAAGGAAGCCTTAAATATATAATATTTTATGACTGATATTCATAGTCGAGTCTTATTTCAAGATAGTCTTAAGTAATGTCTTAAGACGCTAATGCAGCCTTTGTGACTTCTTAAGACCGTATTTAAGACGGTCTTAAATATAAGATCTGACTATAAATACCGGCTTATGCATCCATAAGCACGACCGTTCACTGAGCTCTGGTATTTGATTGGCATATTCCACTAGATCTAAAAATACAAACCAAACAGGTACAAGAACTCATTGAGCGCTCAGTGAGCAGTTGTGCTTTTGGATACACCTTGAATACGAGCATTGTGTTATCTGTGAATTATCAGCTGATCGAAGAAATTAATAAAACGAAAAAATCAAATTAAGCAGAAAATTAATTTCTGCCGGCTTTGATAAACAACGACGAGATTGCGACTCAATATTTGCGACAACTCAAAAAAACTAATATTTTTTTTAAACACATATAATATTTTTTTCTTTAACATATAGCAAATATTAAAGTTAGTTAATTTCTAAGCGATGTCTCAAGCTATTTCAGCCGGTCTGCCAGGGATGATATTAGAACGACCTTTGACCTCAATTGGAAAAACACAACGGTACGCTTTTTTTATAAATAATTTAGCGACTATGTATAACTTACGATCAATGCGAATGCAACAGGTCTCAGCGAAGGTGAATATCTCACGACGCAGACAATGATACTGCAATAAATAAACAGAAAATTTCTTTAATCTCGACAATTGGTCAACAATTGTAAGAATGAAAAAAAATCGAGCATAGAAATGGCAACATTCAAATCTTCCAATCGATTTCGGAATTTATTATTATCAATAATACATTATCGATCTATAATCGTCTCTATAGTTATCAAAGATACCTGACACGAACTGACAAAGTCCACGCAAGTAATGAGTTTTATTTCATTTAACTCCAAGGATGCCGAGTTTTCATTGCGACAACCAGGCGAGTGAATTGAATGAAATGAGCTGTACGTGGGCCGATTATCGCTCGTAATTTGACACCACTCACGGATTACTTGCCGCTTAATTCACGCAGGAGAAAACTCATTCTACTCGGCGACCTCGGCGTTCAGACTTAGGACTAGTCAAGTTTTCAGACTGGAAATGACGAAGCAAAATAATCTATTTTCTTAGATCAGTTCTTTTCTGAGAGGGGAATGATACTTCACGTCCTTCATGATACTTACGCAATCGATACCTCGAGAGACTCGACGATACTGAGTATTACTGAATGCTCAGTTGTGCGCTGATTCTTCGATGATAAACGGCATATTTCCCAAAATATCGTATATACGTAACATACACCTCGTACATATGTCATACCAGTGCATACGTGTAACACACAAATAAACTCTCGTATAAACGCTTATGACACACATATAAATATTCATGCACACATAAATATTCATGCACACATATGCACGCATACCTCATATATACACAAAGTCCATCAATCATATGTGCATGAAGTTGTGTACTCAAAGTGGTGTGTAAAACAAAAAACAGGTGGAGACACGGCCGCGCGAGACGCCAGTTGAAAAATGGCGGACTGCGAGAAGGAGGAGGCACACAATCTCGTAAGCTATTTACCTTTACTTAGCGTTTATCTAATCGTCTTAGACATTTAGCCCCTAGTCATCAGATAGCGAGATTCTTGCGCCGCGTTATATTATTTCACGCTTACTCATTTTGTCAGCTCGCTGCGAGCATTTTTGAGGTTATGCCGTTTGACATTTCCCCGAAATAATATGTTCCGCATAGATAACGCGAACATCCTGTCCCGACTGAATCAATAACATCCCGATAATTTTGCTTCTAGCAAATGGAGTTCGAGTGGGTGCTCCACGAAGAAGTGCACTCCTCATTGTCGCAGCTCAGGAATATTTTGATGGTACATGGATAATCAAATAAATTGTGTATAAATATTGTGTATATGATAGCTAGCATTTAAAAAAATTTATTCTGATTTAATTCTACTTGTGAACCATGTAATATTATAGTCTAGTCAATATATCAGTATGTTAATATATCAGTAGCTGACACATAGGTCATGCATATTAATCTTGCGTATCTATTTTAAGGAATGTGCTCAACGCTTCCCACTGGCTCTCTTCGGTAACGATCAGCATAATAAAACCGACAGATTTGTTTTTGCAGCCCCGCATGATCAAGTGAAGTGTGTTGCTGTTCTGACAGGCGACAGCATCACAAATGCAGTAAAGTGTCCTTAGCGCACTGTCAAGATTATACTTAGAATTACAGTTGTAGTAAAATTATAATTTCTGACTTTGTTGCCTTATTGAGATAAATTTTCATTTTGTTCATAGGAAGTGAATTTTAAGGTGCAGCGACAACAGAATGTCAATATGAGAACAAGTATTCAAAGTGAGCATCCATGGAAGTTGCAACAAATTCAAGATGCTGCTAATCATTTACAGCAAGGCATCGCTCATATAGACAATGTAGACAGACATTATCTTTTTAAAACGTCGGATGAAGTTATGCATGTGCTAGGTAATATTTTGGGCTGCCTTCAGAGGAGCAGAACTAGCTTGATCGTCCCTAGGAAGAAGACAATTGATGATCTCATTAAAAGTCGAAATATGGTATGTGACATTTAGCATAACATAAATTAATATAAATTAGTTACATTTAATAGCAAGTAACATTGTAAATTTTGTTTCGTTCCCAGAAATCTCTCAATCCGAACCTCCCAGAAAATTTGGCCATTAGCTTTTACATTCAAAGCTATAAACTAGTTTTAGCTGTTTATCAGTTAGAAAATGCTCACGGCAGTGTTAAGTACGAAACCCAGCAAGCAGAATGCAGCGTACCATGGCTGAATGACGCTCTAGTATTGCTTACTATTGCCCTACAACTTTGCCAACGACTAAAAGACAAGGTTTGTCATGTGAATTAATTGAAAAAATTTTAATTTATCATAATAAACTTTCTAATATGATAAACTTTTTCAGATATGTGTCTTTTCTCAATATAAAGATTTCACGGTAGGTTCTCGTGTTCCTTCTGCAATGGGCTGGTAACCTAACACCAAGATTCGTTTTCGAATAAAATTCAATATAATGTACGATGGTACATGCAAGTGAGAAAGATTTGGCCTCAACTGGTAACATTTACTCTGGCCTTTGTTTTTACATATGTTAATTGTTGTTCTTTCATCGTATTTCTCATTGCACTAGAGTGTTGTTCTAAACGTTTTTAAACGTGATTATAGTGTGCGCCTAGTATAGTAATGTATGATATATTGTAAACCATTAAGATACCCGATCAAAGATTCATAGAGATGTGAGTCACCAACGGATAACAACAAATCATTATATTATTAGGCCAGAAATGGAAGACTTTAAGAGCATTTTGCCAATTACTGGTGTGCCTATCACCATGTTAATATACTGTGTTCTTCCCATTTCTGTGGTAGTTTTTCATAATCGTGTAAATTTAACTTTGGCATATGACATCTAAAATTTGTCACTTTACCTACGAATTGATAGAAAAGTATTTAATACATCTACTGTGATTCTAGAAATTTACGCTGTAATCCTCTCCTTACTGGATTAGAACATATTTTTGTATATTAATTTTTTATTTTCTTTATTATATTCCTTGTTATAAATGTTTACACATTGCATAACCACTATGTAGCATAGTTGTCAACTTAATTTTATGGAACTATTAATTTAGAAAATAATTGTTTTTTTGTACTCAAGATTTATATTCGTTTTAATTCAGAATATTTGATGAAATCATTTGAATCAAATTTCTGTCAATGTCAGTAATTTATTAATACCAGTATGATAAATTACGTGAACATTAAAATGAAAATTAAAATCTAAAGTTTAAAAAAGAACGATTTTTAACTTGCCGGACAACCTAATATTTGTCCAATCACATCATTTCTTCTAAATTTTAAAAAAGTCGATGCAATAACTTGGTATCTTCGTGCTAATAGGGCGTACTAACTTAATGATGACTACTGTGTGTATAGTTATGGAAAATGCCATTTTATTTATCAAATATTATTTAAAGATAATAAGTAGACAAATACCACGTGCCTCATGATTACGAATTTGGATAAAATACCAATACTTTACATGATGGTACAATTTTTGTAATCGGTATTTTGATTACTAAAATAGTTAGCAAGGATATAAATATATATATAAAATATATTTATATTTGAAAAAGAGAATATTGCTTAAGGTTTATAATTAAAGGAAGTGCTTAAATATAATAAGTAGTTAGTAATTCTTTTTAGTAAATTAACGATGTGTAGGAAGAAATAAATCTCCATATGCATTTTTTGACGATTTAATGAAGTTGTTTGAAATGATATGTTTCAAAGAATTGAGGATATATAACAATTACAGTTCAAGATTTAACACAAAATTTTTGCGTGTCACTGATTGAAAGAACGAAATTAAATTGTCACTCTAGTTACACATCAAGAAATGTTAATGAAAAAAAATCTTGCCCAGATTATAGTATTTTTCACAAAATTTATACATATACGTTTATAAATTAAGATATAATGTTTATTATTTTAATTATTTATATGCTTATTTTAATCCGTATTTTGTAATCTAGTTCAAGACATCGGAAAATTTATATATTAAATTTTATACATTAAATTTGTAGACAAGTATATTGTTTATTGTTATATGTACTGTATGTTATAAATATGATCCAAACACACACATATACACATTTTAGATTTGTCTTAAAAATTTATTAGGTATACTGTACTTATGTAATTTGTGTGTTTAATTTATTTAGGACAATTAATAAATGTATGAATGAAATTGTTATCAACTTTCACATATGTCTTTATCATAAAACCCAATATTTTGTTAAATACTTATATTGGCTGTAGTCCAGTTTTTGCCAAATTTCAATATTTATTAGATTAAATATAAGTTTTTTAAGTAGTGTATTTTGATTTCTTACTTTTTTCACGTTCGTATGTAACATACTGATGAAATATTATTAATTATCTACAGCTTGATGAAATATTGTTAATATACGCAGAATGGTGAATTATTCATATTATATAGACAAGTGGAGCCAGTTCAGGAGACTTTGTGAACGTAATGATCATACGGCTCGTTGGTCTAGGGGTATGATTCTCGCTTCGGGTGCGAGAGGTCCCGGGTTCAAATCCCGGACGAGCCCATGATTTATATTTTTTATTTTGTTAACGATATTACTTATCTTACTTTTTCATTTAAACGCTAATGATATTTTTGCGATACACGTATACAAAACTCTTGTATAAATTATAAATATTTTACCTATTTCACTTTTTTGTTTAGCTGCACTTTAAGTGCGTAAGTTAATTGTCTATAGTTTATATTTCTTGATTTTTTTTTAGAACTTTTCGTTTTGTTTTATCGAATGATAATCATCTAGACTCTGTACTTTATTTATTTTGTATAGAAAAATTACAAATTACACATTACTTGTTTGTATTTCAAGCCGTACTTAGTGACAATAAATCCGGAAATTTGAAAAGAGAGTGTAATATGTGTGTAACTGTGTAGTACAACTGGAAGCCGTGGTAGCAACAACATGTCGCTTGCCTGGAATCCTTCGAAGAAAAACAGTGAACATGAGAGGTAAAGTGGTAACGGTAAATCAATAATAAAGAAATAGCTTTCACATTAATGTATTCCTATCAAATATTAATTAAAATAATGTTTCTTGAGCTCCGTAAAAATGCATTACGATCAATTACGATCTATGTATTATCTAACCTATAAAAGTTTATTGAATACAGAATACATACGTCTAGACTGAAGGCACTTCAATTCCTTTTATTCGTTGAGTACTCCAAAATAAATTCGAATAAATTTATGATATCTGACGTCAAAGTTGAATTTATAGGTTAAACGTCATTTATAGGTAAAAGAATCACAAGTTTTATCTTGGAAAAAATATTTAAAATAAATACTTTATTTTTTAAAGCAAATATTTAACATATTTTATTTAAACTTTTAGGCCCCACGCACAATGGAGGAAATATTAGGAACAGAATTAGATATTAAGATTTTAACCTATCAGATACCAGTTACATCGGAATACACGGTTTTTGATAGGTTGAAATCTCCAATATCTATTCTTGCTTCTAATATTTCCTCCATTGTGCGTAGGACTTTACAATACAAGTTTAAATTCGCCATTATTTGATAAGTTGTTTTTTTTTATAGATGGATATGTATCTATCCAATATATTTAAACAACAAGAGAAGTTTGGCAAATGGACGAAAGCTGGCCAAGGATAAGTGTGTAGAAAATCCAACGCATCAGGAAATACGGGATGTCTTGTTGGCAGCGGGTCTCAATGTAGGCGTTGAGAATAAGCTGCATCCGAAAGAACGTAGCAAGGAACCTCTATTCCGAGGTCGTATTCGCGTGCAGCTAAAAAATGACGATGGAACACCGGTAAAATCCGAATTTCCTACTAGAGATTCCCTGCTGGAGTACGTCGGTACCTCAATTTCAAAGCTGAAGACTCGCCAGGGTAAGCAGAGTTCTAGCGAGCAAGCATCGCAGCCATCTACGTCGACTTCAAAGAAAGGGAAAGGCAAAGGCAGGAGATAAAGAAGAGGAGATGGAACTGTTAAGAGTGAATTTTTATTTATATTTATATATTTTATATTATACAAAACGTTTGAATATATATGCTCATTCTTAAATTCTATGCTTTATCACATCATATATATAAGACAAAAATTAAAATAATGCTATAAATGAAGTATTCATTTTCGAAATGGTTTTCACAAACAATTACTTTGTGAACTTCATAAACTTATTTATTCATAATCTCTAAAAAAAATTTTCTGATTATACTTTTTCAAAACTGAGGGCTATATGTGCGATGAGAGTTGCAGGATCAACCTAAAATTATGTTTATATAGTTATTGTTTAGATTACTACAATACTTTTTATTTTTTATATCTCTAGTTCAAAATGAATAAAGATAATCTTTCACTGAGTTCTATTATTAGGACTTTTAAATTTGAGTTGAAACTAAAAGCAGTATAAGATATAGGACTATATTACATGTAGGTATTTAGTTGATTTAAAATAGAATGATTGAAATAAGGTAATGAATAAATTAATGTTAAAAATTTCTTTTATTAAGGAGAAAATTTAATAATTACATTACTATTTGTTTGCTATAGTACAAATATGACAATAATAAGAAATTTAAATTTATATTTTGAACAGATTAGATATATACAATATTTAATTTATCCTACTTATGATTTATCGTTTCTATTTTTCATATCTTTTCTTCGTTAGGAATGTTGTTTTTAGTTGGATCGTCAGATTTTTCTATTCCATTCGAATTTTTAATTTTGTCAGCAGATAAAACTTCATTTTTCTGTTCAGTATTTACATTATTTTTGCAAAAAGATTGTGGATTGGACGCAGAAGTCCATGGATCCGATAATTTATTTTGCGGATATAGCGACATAGGTTGAAGAAGATATTCATTAGGTATGGAATGGAACATGTTTATCAAAGGATTATAATAAGAATTGTATGGATATGGGTAATTCTGATGTTGCATTGGTTGGTATAATGCGTCTGCGATGTATGCTATTGGATACTGTAATGGGTCATTCAATCCAAGAACATTTTGTTCAGTAGGTTTATCCTAGAAGAAATAGATTTTGATTTATAATTTTTTGTCACAAAAGTCAATTTAATTTTGCTTAGCTATGTATAATTGCATTTTTTAGCAATCAAACAATTGTTTGTATCATTGTATAGAATTTCATAACTTGCATCATAACTCTTGTTTATTAATATAGAGAATATTGCAATTTCTTCTTAATTTTAATGACACAATTTCTCATTACTTCATTACTTACTAAGAAAAAGTTACAATTTATGTAAGAATTTGGTATTAAATAAAATTTACGAATTAAATATTATATTATTATTACGAAACTTACTGCATTACTTCTGGCAGTAGGAAGGTTGGAAGTATTGGAACCATCATTATTTTCATATTGACCAATAGTCTGATCTGGATTCGATTTGTCCTGTGGGAATTAATAAAAAAAGATTTAATTGTGTGTGATATTGATACATTTTTTGTTTTAATTTTTGCTGTCATATGTGTATATCTATTAAGAGCATCGAATTCATTTTTTAGACTTCTACAACTTTATTTGAAAGGTGAGACGTTCGTATGAAACGTTTATTCAGATAAATAAAACATATTCATCATGTTTTTCATTAAACTGATCGCAAATTATGTAATTAAACTTACATTAGTACTTCTGATGATACCACGATGATGCAGAGGATAATGATGGTACACACGAGGGTGTAGTATACGGTGCAAAACGTGTGCGGGAAATGTGACCGCTCTAAATAAAGCGTGAGGTAGTCCATGTGGATGAGAAATTGTGCCCAACGGAACCGTTGTTGGATCATACACTCCGGTTGGTGGATAGATAAATGGTGGTTTCCCTAAGGTCGAAAGATCTACTCCCTGCATAGTCGGACTCACGTACGATGCGTATTCTGATATCATATACAACAGAGAGTCGTATGTATTCCAAGAAATGAGACTGATTGACGATACACCGTGAAATCTTAAAAATTACTTTTTTCGTCAACTACGCCCGAATTTGTCGCAGAATCGACGGCGTTATCGCGAGTCGCATTGAACACCCTGACAAAATGAGAGTGACCAGCTTCTGGTCCTCCATTGATAAAATATTGTGCCACTTTCTCGGCATCTCCTATAATGCGACAGTTTTTATTTTAGGTACCTCGACATTAGACGCTTAAAAGATACCTTAGTTCATACAGCGTTTCTTAGATATTTTAAAAATATCCTTTGGAGTTTTAGAATCCTCGAATTTGGATACTAATCAGTATCCTTTATGAATAAAATTACCTTTATGCCAATAATTAACTGTAAAACTGTGAAACTATTTTTGCAGGAAAAGTTTTTGAATGTTCCATGACAATGGAGTTTTTGAAGTAGAAATACGAAATGAGACACTTTTTTTGAAGGAATGTCTATTTGAAGGTATTTTTGAAACATTTAAGTCTGCAGAAAGTTAAAATGTGTTATATAAATATATAATTTTACTTTACCTGGTCTGAGACGACGCCTGTATTTTAAAATAGAACGTATTTTTCGCTCCTCGTCTGTCAGATCATCAGAAAGCATATTCAGTTCGATAGCTTGAATTTCTTTTTGTATTTGCTGTATGCATTCTACATTGTTGAGTTAAAACGAAATATGCGATATTACTTTTTAGACAACTGTTTTAACAATTTATTTATACACAGAAGATAAATTTGTAAATAATGATAATACCTTTGTTACTGTCGTCAACAAAATTGCATTCACAGTGACCGTTTTCAAATACTGCGGAAGTATTACATTTTATGCATAATAAATTGCAAGTTTCGGCATCGTTTGCGTCTAATAAAATGCCATGAATTGCTGCAAACATGCATTTCTGATTATCATGAATGTTTATATTGATTACTAGTGTTACATAAATTATCAATAACGACAGATGTATTCGCAAATCTATTTAGAGTACGTAAGAGAGAGAATTTAAATTACACATTGCAAATTTGAAATTACTTCCAATAATATATTTTTTCTTTTATTCTGAGGAGATCTTTGAAAAAGTTCTTTAGACTGCATATAAAGTAATAAAATAAAAATTTCACGTATATTACGTATTAATTTATCTGTCTAAATAATTAATTTTATGTAAAACAATCTATGTTTTACTCATGTTACCAATTTTTTGCATTATAAAAATAATTATCAATATATTCAAATAATTGTCAGTTTATCATGTTAAAATTAATTATTATTAAAATGTAATTGAATAATATTTATTGAAAAAGCTTTTATACATACCAGCACAGCATAAAATATGAATAAATAACAAAAATTGATGTCGGATGATCATATTGATGACCGATGAATAATGTCCAATTAAAAATTTTAAGTCGGATACAAGTCGTACGCGATTCCGCACTACACTGCTATAATAGCAATTGTACTTTAATTTATAATAGTTTACGTTTGCACAATTCACGAGTATGTGATCATTCCTCAAATTGCTTTTCTGACATCTTTAATAATGCAATTTTGCATTTTAATTTATTGGATGTATTTAGTTGCATAACGTCACACCAACGACTGTATCAAATGTCACAATCTGTTAGTATTTTCGGCAAAGGTATTCGGAGAATGATTGCAATAATGCATTCGATTTTGCTGCACGTCAAAGTTTTCATTGTGATTTTATAAATATGATTCGTATGAATGACTATACAATATACATACAATTCGTAGAATTTTATACAAATTATAATAATTATGATTTAGAAAAATTTATATAAGTAATTGTAAAATGTTTTTAGAACAATTTTTTCACAAACAATAATTTCAACAAACACAATTTTACATGTTAATAATTTATTTAAAAAGATGAAAGAAAACATTTTATTATTATGACGATGCTTTTAAATTATGTTTTAATATTTAATGTAAAAAATTACAAGGAATAGAAATTATGCAATATATAAATAAAAGATAATCCGTAGAATTTTTATGCAAATTGATAATCACGACTTAGTTTACATAATTAATTACAGAATATTTTTAGCGATAGTAATTCTAGTGATATTGAATTCGTGTAATAAAATTTTGTGTAATTAATAATTTATTTTAAAAAAATGAAAGTAAAGAATTTCATTGTGACGGTGCTTCCAAATTATTTTTTAATTGATATTTAATATAAAATGAAGAAAAAAAAACCTCCACCGTGACAATGCTTTCACGCATTGCCGTGACCAGGATTCGAACCTGGGTTACTACGGCCACAACGTAGGGTCCTAACCACTAGACGATCACGGCTATTGAAGGTCGTGTAAGCGAGTCACGTTTTTAACATTAAAAGTGTCGTGACATACTTATATATTTGATATGAGATATTACTGTTTCTTGATATATTTGCAAATACACTTTACGTAATTGTAAAACAAATTACATTAACTTTTTTCTCGAATAATCGGGTGACACAGGTAATAAGGTCAGATCGTTGAAACCGCACATGTAATGGAATTTATTGGAAATTTTATTTGAAATTCCATTGGACATTATGTTCGGAAAATATCGGAAATCATTGTTCATATAACTGCTTTTTCCATGCATACTGCAATTACGAAGCGAAATGGGACATCGCATAATATTTTATCATGATATCCTTGGAATACCGATTCGATTGGTATTTTATCGAGAGAATTTTGTTTCACATCCCATAAATTTTCAAATAACATTGGTATTTTTCTTTATCTCTCTCTTTTCTATAAGAGATTGTCGCGAGTCCTGCATTTTTGGTATGTGATTTTGAAAGATATAGATCAATTTTAGACTGTATAATCAAATTGCATTAGTAGACAAATTTACGACTTTGATACATAATTTTTTTATTCTTTATCAATTTTTGACTTCGAACTTATGCGATTTGAATTTTCAAAAATTATGTAAAAGTAAATTAAAAATTTATGATTGTAAAAAATTTATAATTAAAAAAACTTTTGCAATCATTACATTTAAACTTTTAATTAGTATCAATTTTTATGATACTTTGTCAATTATTGAAAAAATTACAATTAAAATAAACATTTTTTCAACAATTATCGACGATTGGTAAGCTTGCTAATGATTTTATTGAGTAGTGATAATCATTGTCATTATTATGTAATTATTGACAAAATTATTCAAAAAATTTTTTAACTGTTGATATTCTACAAACAGCAAATCAAAAATTGTAAAAATTTAAACTCTTAAAAAGTTACAGTGTTAGAAAAATATAAACAGATTAAGAAAACAGAAAAATGTTTAATTTAAATTTTTAGCATTTTAATTTAAATGGTGTAATGAATATGCTTTATTGTATAAATTTTTATGTGAGTATAAACAATAATGAATACACACTTTCATGAATATCTAAATTGCTCTCATCTCGAGTACTTGATACAATTTTGCATTTATGTCATCAAATGAATATTAAATACATGCTCCAATTTCGTTCAGTCTTGTAGCGATCTGATTAGATGGTTAATATTTTTAGAAGAATTACTAGTTTTTACTGTATTTTTGCGCAATTGATATTCCGTGACAATCATAATAGCTTCGTGACTTTTAAATTACGGATAACTTTAACAACTAAAATATCTCATTCTATAAATATTGCATCATTTTGATTCAATTATTGAAATTTAATTTATGTGATTTTTTTATTCTATTTTGTTCTATAATTATTGCTACTTTTATACATATATAATGTGTGTGTGTGTATATATATATATATATATATATTATCAGTGTAAATTATATTACATAAATTACATTACAGCTTTCAAACAGGGTCAGAATTGCATAGTGCATCAAGGCATGTATAATTTGAACAGAATCGTGAGTTCTGTTGCTCTAATACGAGCTATATATGGAAAGTATAAAATTTTGAAAATCTCGTTAAAATAAATTGGTCTCATCCATATTCGGCTAAAAGTTATTATGTCTGAAAATTTCATTAACTGTACGCATAATTTGAGCTACAAATAGTACAAATTTCATTACTCCAATATGTGCTGCATTAAGAGCATCAAATCTTAGAAAATCTTATTAGAGCAGATAGATTTCGTTAATTGACATAATTTTGCAATCTTTTGATAATATAATTAAGTGATATTTTTATTCAAACGGGAATAATTTTCCACAGACCGAAAAGTAGTTCAACTATTTTGGTATTAACTTTGTTGACGCCAGAGAAGTCTAGTCAAAAATATAATGTTGATTCAAGGTTGATTCATTGTCGATTCAATATGGTTGATAGCTGGTTGAGTCGATAAGAAAATTGATATTCCTGCGATACCGACATAGTTGATTTGTATCATTAAAAAACTGACATCGACATTGGACGGTATTTATAGTCGATTTTTTTATTGTATTTAAGATTGTCTTAAGTACAATTTTAAGATGTCACGAACCAATCAGAGCATCTATCCGTATTAGCACCTTAAGACATTATTTGAGACGGTTTTAAAATAAGAATGGATTATGAATATTGCCCATTAATTCATTTTTGTCGAATCAACTATTTGGAGCTGTTTTTATTGCAAAATTTAATTAGCTTTTAGATTATATCTTAAAAGTATTATAACATATATTGTTTATATAAATATTTTACAAATTTATGAACATTTATATAGGAAATCGTACATATGAAGCCTTACAATTAAATTGTGTCCATGATGCTTATAAAAATCGCTTGAAGTACGCTCCTGAATCGTATCGTGGCATCACAGAGCTGCAAACTACTACTTGCTCACTCATGCTCTCCTGATCACGAGAGCCTCCAAGAGAGCCTATCCCAACCAAGCTGATACAGAATACGAGGTAGTCTTATATACATACCTCTCTCTCCCATTGCCGCACGTCATCTGGAGTGTGGCATTCTAGGATCGCGATTGGAGAGACTCAAGGATACGCATTGCAAAGGATCTATATAGCGAGTCTCGAAGGAATCGTTAAGGTTACTAGCGTCATTCTACGGCGAATCCGGATCCATTGATCGTATCCAGAGAGAATTCGAATCTATGACGCAATTCGGGAAACAGGGAGCAATTTTTAGATTATACAGAGTGTCTTGAAACCAAAAGCTCTTGTTAATTTTTCTAGACTTTTTTTTCCAATACGTCGAAACTATTATTTAGTATATCGTTTTTAATATACTATAATATATTTATACAACTAAGCTTCCTATTAATTTTCTATCAAATTCGCATAAAATTTATTGACAATTTTATGACTCTCTCATTTCTTATCTAAAGCTTAGAGATTCTTTTTACAAAATAATTATTTATAATTATAAAAATTTAATTATTATTTATAAAATGAAAATTGTATTTCTATTTATAAATTATATTATTATTTATAATTATTCGAAAGTTGTACGTTTTTGCTGCGGACAAATTGACTCCAAGTGAATTAAAGCTTAGTGAAAAAGGCATCCGATAATATCGGAACACTCTGTACAACTCAGATTCTTCTCTTTCGTTCTAGACGTTCATCAGGCAGAGATGGTCTTTCGATTCTTTCCTTTTCTTCTCTTTTCCCATCATTCACACTACCAATTACGACGGGAAGATTATCCAGGAATTCCTTATCCTCTTTCTCATTCGAGACAGGAGCAACCGGTTATATACAGAACAGGAAATCAACCAAAAGCATTAAAGAATACGTCAATCTTTCTATGCTTATTATTACTTGATTAATGTAAGTTTATAATACATGACTATATACTTTCTTTTTCTCACATAATGATTTCGAGTAAAATTGAATGTTGCAAATTAAAACAATATTTCAAAAAGAAAATTCGTTATATTTTTAAATAAACTTTTAATAAACGTGTTATCGATTATACTATTATATTACTGAGTTGACAATGAGACATTTTCATCCGCGCCATTTTATTTATGGTCCTTCTTTTGGTGCCTGTTTTTCGAAATTTTTAAGCAATCTATCGATCCGTTTTATGCACTCGGCAGAGTTTTTGTGATTAATATCATAAACCTGAACAAGTGCAATTAAATTATTAGAATATAAACCGCAGTTTTATGAACATAAGAGAAACTTTACTTTTTTCGTAAAATCGCTTTTTAGTCTTTTATCTTGGAACATCATTTTCTCGCCGGTTCTCAAATTGTCAAAAACTTTTAATCGCAATGGTCCAAATTTCTTTTGGAATTTTTGAATGTTGCCCTCCAGATTTTGTATTTCGGCGTGAATTTTTCGTTCATCTATACCTAATTGATCCACTTTCTTATTGAACTTCTTAATATCACTGTATGCATCCCGGTAATTTTTCCTCGTTTTTGCTCGCATTTCGTCAGCAAGCTAAACATTACATGGGAAACGATTTAACGTCATGATACATCCAACAAATTCTTTTACTTTGCGAGAAAGATTTTAACACTAATTGACGTATACATCTTATAAAGAGATAAAATGCATTAACCTTTTCTATTCCGGTGTTAACTGTATTTCTTAGCTGATCTGACGCGTATGGAAATTTTTTAAATGTCTCATCAACTCGTGTTCGATTAGTTTTAATCCACGTGTCAACCTTGGCATTAATTACGTTATCATCATAATCCATCAAGAACGTATCCTCGTTTCTAACATTATCTTGCACTCTCGCCAACACTTCGGAACTCCAATGTAAAACACGGTCTTTCTCTTCCAGAAGACCATCCCACGTTTCAGGCATTCTGCCCATAGTTTGTCCCATTTTGTTAAGCTAATAGTAGAAAATGGAAATGGCGAAATATGCTCGTATATCTTAACAATACTAGGCAATATATTTTTTAATTTAAAATATAAATAAAATAGTTCAAAATATAAATTTTAAGTATATACAAAAATTAAATTGCCATATCTCGTTATCTAATTTATGATTTTTCACAAAAATCTGTGGAAACTGTAAAAAAATCAAGCCATTTCCGTTTTAAGCACTGGAATTTTTGTCGTATTTGTATTACATTACCTTTTATTTTTAATCCTTTGAAAATTTTTAATAAATCTTTTAATGAATTTATTATTAAAGTTTCTGTGAAGAATTTTCGCAGCCGAAATAATATTTGGTTCGAAGAACCAATTGGTGACGAGGAATTTACGAGAATCTTTATACTATTAACTGAAAATTTTGACAGCTAGAAACGTTAGCGATTGCAATTTGATTAGAAAAACCTATTTGACGTTTTCCTCGCTCCGTTGCACCAAATATCGTGTTCTTTTGTCCGTAGTGTATTTTTGTACATACATACAGCGAAATTTAAATGTCGACAAACCTGAAATACCATTTACGACGATATTTAAATAAATATTAAAGAAATACATTTTTCTCAATTATTTTCTACATGTATCTAAATGTTATCCAGGATTTATATTTCTTCGTAATTATGCATTTACAAAAATCACATCGTTATTATTTCGAGCGCATTACATTTTGAATAACGTTCAAGCGATTCTCTTTTTCCTCCTTTTTTGTGAGTAATCATCTCGGTTCGTTATTGCAACGGTTCGTTTGTTCATAGCGTCTCGTACGATGGCGCCGCGCGGCGGCGGCACCGCGACGCTCGCGAGAGGCGCTATTGATAAATTCTCTTCCGCGTACGGAAAATACCGCGTTGTCGCGGCCGCGTGGAATGAAATTACGCGGAAAACGAGCCGTTCGCGTCTTTCACAGCCGGATGAATGCGCGTCGCGGGGGTTCGTTTGTTCGCGAGAACGAGAAGTCTCGCGCGGAGTTGTAACGCGCGAATAGCGAGGTGTCGGCGCTTCGCATCGAGCGCCATTTTGCCCCGTTTGTTCGCGGCTGAATCCTCACCGCGCGTGGAAAAAGGAACTGGGACGGATGTCCGCCTGTCGGCAGAACCCGCGGGATTGAATCGCGGCAACCAAGGCCCACTCCGCCTCGTCGAGGTGTCAATTCAAAGCGGCGTAATCTCCGCTCGGCGCGACCAATAATCGGCTTATTGATTTTGATTTGTGCCGCGCGTAACGTGAAACGTCCGCACCTGACCGAACCTGACGCGCGCGTGCTGAAAACGCTGACGAAGAAAGTATTTTCGTTGGGGAAATAACGCAGATTTTCTAATTGTTGCACTCTTCAATAAAATCTAATCCGTCGTAAAAGTAATAAATAGAGAACAAAGTAATATTTAAATGAAATGTTTCTACATTGAAAAAATTTACTAAATCTCAATACATATTTACTTGAGTAATATACTAAATAAATATTTTATTTATTAGGTGTTGGAATTAATTCGTAGCGTTTTTTAATGAAAGAATGTTATTTATTTTACATGAGCATTAAAAAATACATTAATGAAAGTACTTCCCATCACTTGTAAAACGCTACGAATTAATTCCAACACCTAATACATTAAATAAATATTTACTTAAAAAATAATAATTAAATTCAATTAATGGTTTTTGTATCAAATAAATATAGGGACATTTTGTATTTACTTAGAACTATTCAAACAAATATTTACTAAAATTTAGTATTTTTTTTCAGTGTAACTACAAAATAATTGAGTAGATTTAATCTCTTGTTTTATTAGCGTATACTTTTATTTACTGTTATTACTACAGAATGCAGATTTGACAAATATATTAACAACCCTGTTCTCTAAATTTCTTGCAGTGAAATTCCATTGGAAAATGGAGTGATTACGTTGAAGTCGGAACGATTTTTTATTCATATAGAGTGAATTCTTTCATTCTATGTTATGAGTATTTTCCCTCGTAATTAAAGAATGAATCTAATACTCTACTGTTGGAAATTGTGCATGCGCCACGCAAGAAGTTTGGTAAGTCATACTGATTATGATATAGGAACACAAGAGGTCTGTTTTCTGTAGCTGAGCTCGTACTGCACTTTTGAAACTTAAAATGAAATAAATACATATATATATGTTTGGTATTTGGCGAAAACGGGAAAGGAAATGCAGTTCTATAATGCAGATATAAAAACCAGACCTCAGGTGTGTTACATAATAATAGCTGAATATAATTTGGCGCAAGTTTCTGTAGATTAGTGCCAAATTTTTAATAGCGACTTTAATTGGCTAATAAAATTTGAAGCCAATTTGATTGGTCACAAATGATTGGTCACAAATGTCGTCATTATTTATTTTGAACGATTGCGCTTCCTTGAAATTGGTTCACCTGGTCATGATATACTATTGTGCACCTGGTATTCTTACATCATGATACTGATGTACTCGTCTCGTCGTATCGACATTGCGTTTTGTCGATATTACGTAAATAAATATCGGCAGCACTTTTTCCAGAAATAAAATGTCAACAAAAGAATCTACACTGAGTCTAAATATTTTTTTAGATTAAAACTCAGTCACATATTGAAGCCATCTTGGTGATGTTTTACTCTAAAATAAAACACGAATAAAACATTCACATTATGATTGGAATTAAATATTCACATATATTGAGTTTAAATTTTTTTGTGTTAAAATTTTTGATTTTATTTTGAAGTCATCTTGATTGATGTTTCAAACGAATGAAACATTTACATATGATCGGTAAATTCACCCTTATGAAAAGTGAAATGTCACTCCATTTTGGACAGCAGTATTTTTACTATCAATTGAAGAGAATTTTCATTCGTTTTGAGTGAGATTTCAATCTGAAAAATCTAGAGAGTACTAAACGGATTCATAGTATAATACTCGTTTTATAACCGAAGTACTCTACCTGTTTTTAATTTCACGTAGCTATTACCGCTACGAGTTTCTCAGAAGAGGCATAAACACACAGTGTGATTTATAGGTCCAGTTGAGAAAAATCTCATTTTGTGCTTCGCTAAATATTAGTAATTAAATTCGTTAATTATTATTAATTTTATTAAATAATTTATTTTATTTTATTAATTTATATAACTATCTCTTATTAAAATTATTGTTAATGTTATTATTAAACAAATCTTCGAAATTCAAAGATGCATGTCGAAATGTGACTAGACCCATTCTATTGAAATATTCTCAATTCAACCGATAAACGCGACTTGAAGCAGTAACGGCGATATTCCACCGAATGTAGTACTTCGTAAAGTATTTCGATAGAATTTTTCTCTTTCCTTGAAAGAACGTTCGCACGAAACAGCTTTTCCAACTTTTAACACGTTACATGACCGAGGGAGTTTATCAACGTCAGCAGTTAAGAGTTAATCTGCGCGACGTTTGGTCCTCAGGGAGAAGGATAAGAGTAGGAGGATCGCAGTGGGGACGATAAACGGCCATCTTTATGCCCGATATGATGACGGGGAATTTACGTTTCATAGAATTATGAAGTAATCCATGGGCATTGAGAAAAATATCCTCTCGCCGTGACGAGGCGCGAAAGTTTCCACCGTGCAATAACGACGCTTTTAACGATCCCGGTGACGACGCTTATCCGCGAGCTCGCGCGAAAACCTCTCCCCCTGTAGACCCTGTTCCCCATTCTCCCTCCTCCATTGCGCCCGTTAGTTATATTGTATTATATCGTATACGTGGCGTATACTCGCTTTATGGTGCCGCTCGAGCGTTTAAATTGAACTAAAAATAACTGCTTTGCGAGCGCCATCGATGCCACCTGAACTACTCGTGCGTGCACGAAGGTGGCCTCCGCCGTGCCGAGTACGCGGGATACACTTCACCTGGCTGCTCCTTTTGAAGCAGCCGATGTCAGAGGAAGAGAGAAAGAGGAGAGTGACTCGCCTTGTGAATCGCGTATGTATGTCCCCACATGCATGCATAAACCGCGCGCATCGCGGCTTTTTACGGTCTGACCTATCTTTCGCCCACGTTAAATATCTCTCGCTTTCTGCAGGATGCACCGATCATCCCTGGGAATCGCTCCAGCGGATTTTGCAGCACGATATTAAAGCTGAGAGTGTAACAAATGCTATGGATGTATCAGTCTGTAGGATTGTATGAAAAAAAAAACAACGATTTTGTTGAAATATCTAAAAATTTAACTATGTACACACTAAGAAATGTTTGAAGTTTTGTTGATACTGATGCAAAAATTATTTAGTGATATGTAACTAATTAAACCGTTGATTACCATGCCAAACTATTTTCTATGATGGTCAGAGATCTTTTGTAATTAAAAATAAAAAATTTGTTACCGAAATAAAACAGTGTTACATATAAGAATGGCGTCGTATATCTCTCACTTTCTACAGAATGAAATTATGTTTGGCGTTTTCACTACTGTAATTTTCTTCTTAGTGCAGATTTGAAAATAATTTTCTTTAGACTTTCAAAATAATTATGTGGAACGCTCAAATTAATTTTTAAAATGTTAAAGTTTTATGCTGCATTGTTATTAATACTCACATATTTTACATAAATTTTTGATGATTCAACAGAACTATTTACAGATTCGTATCTAGTTAAATGTTTAGATATTTCAACAAAACCGTTCCTTTTATATGTAGATTGTGCGTCACTTTACTTATTCGTAATTTATGATTGCTACTATTCGTGCTCGTTGCAATTTCTTGCATTTATCTGCTGTTATAAGTAGGTTATGGTACTACAAGTGTTTGAAAAGTTCTGGGTATGATAAAAAACAACACTTAACAAATTTCTCAAATTTCCAAATTAATCCCTCTTTAACTCAATATATTTGATATTCTAATTTTTTTATGTATTATCTGTATAATACGATTTCTCTAAGAAAGTAAGCACTAATTTCATCAATTACTTCAATATTTGAGCCAAATTTTTTCTGTGAATCATTTCTTCATGTTTAGAAAGAGGAAAACTGGGGGTTAAATCATAAATCTGTGTTGAATATAGTGCGTGTGAATTCAAAGGACAATTCTTACAATTTTGCGATTGCAATTTGAAAAAACGTGAACGGGTGTATTGTGGTGTATCATGATGGAATAAAAAGTTGTTTGTTTTATACGACAGAAACAGACACTAAATGAATCTGTCTGAAATTGTAATAGTAGCTGTGCAATCAAATTTGTTTAAAATTATAGCAGTTTGATATTTGTGGCGTCATTTCTGTGTCAAGCCGAGAAATTTTCGAACTATCTTTGTAGAGCGATAATATTAGATATTCCTGGCAAATTGTACGTATATATCCCGTAACGGAATATCGAGAGAATATCAAAAATCCGCTAATCGTTATGCAGGTGATCTCGATACGTCGCCGAAATATATCGTAGCTGTTTGCGCTGCAGACTTCGTATATGCATCCCGAAATGATGGCCGTTCAATATTTTTACGGACGAGTACGAACCACAAGCGAATGATCTTCATCCACCCGGCTACGGGGGCTTGACAGTGAATACTCGGTTGAGGGCGATCGGTTCTTTCCACGTGATAGATCAAAACCGAATCCCGCCGAATCGACGGGCGAGAGTCTAAGCGCAGTAAGCACGGATCAGCTAGCACAAAAAGGGGGCATTGCTTCCGGTTCCGTTCGTCGGGTCACTCAAAAAGAATTAACATGCATGCGCTAATTCGTGCACTAAAGGCACTTTATCGTTATCTTACATAATTAAAGGGATGCTTGAAGTCCATCTGGACTTCAGGATCTAATTTTATCAATTAAGTCAATTGCCCTTCGATGAATACGTTGAGTAAAACAGTGCGAATAGCGATAGCAAACACTTCGAACTCTTAACCGCGTTCTGTGCCAGCGTGTCCGTATTCAATTACCATCGAAATCCCTTGTCGTCGGACATTAAAGCCAGGTCTAATCCTATGGAATACGAGGGGGATATGCGAGACAAGGACGTTTCTCGAGTCGGTGTTAAGCTTCACGGGATATCCTCTTTGGGGTAACGGTAATCGATGAAAAAAGCTAAAACGGTAACAATGGTGATGGCACTTGGTATAGGTAAAGGTTGGAACGGTGGATGATTAAGATTTTTTTATAAACGAGGAGAGAAGGTGGAAGAGTACGATTTAATTATTACATTTACATTTTAGAAAAAATATTACTAGCTTCATTTTTCAGAAATCATAAAAAGTACATTCTATAAATTTATAGAAAGCGTATTTTTCTTTCTTTCTTTCTGGTATTGTCAAGTAGGATTGTCGCGGAACATTATGATTTTTCACAGCGTAACAATAATTTCTCTCGTTTATATTTGAAAAAGATGAATTTATGAAATTGAGTGATTTAGAGAAAATTTTATTTCTGATATTTTTAAAGAAATGTCTTTTTTACGATGAGATATTATTAAGATCTCAGACTTTGGGTATCCATTTTGGCATCTATAAATTCTGAATAGATTACACTTAATAAAAATTTCATCGACATGTCATGCATCGTACGCATGAGGTGAAGCGAATAGATCATTGATCCGCCATGTTCCAGAGTCGTCTGGGAATCTTAGAAGCTGGGGGATGAGGTATTCGGACGACGGAAATAGATTCTGGGCACGCGACCGCGAGATAAATATTTCCAGAAACATTATCCTGAAATCTTAAAACTGCATTATCGCTAGTTCACTTTTTGCAGTAAAAATATTTCATTCTTTCGATAACATTTCCATCCTTTCCATATTTTATTCTATTTTATCGCTTTAAAACTTTTACATGTATAAATATTATTATGCGCAGACACATATTTTCAAATTTATTCACAGCAAATTTCTTTCTAAACCAAAATTGATGGAATTTTTTTTTTGCTCTTCTGTTTCTCTCTTTTTTTTTTGTTTCAACTTTGATGCAAAAAGAGTGCAATAGGAAATGTGCAGGCAACTGTAGTTATTTTCGCCCGGTCGAGACGATACGTGGAAGCTATTGTTCGCGCGATCCTAGTTTGGCAGTGATCCTCGATGTCAGCCAGTCTAATAAAAGCCAGGTCGTGCTTGCGAACGAGTACCAATCGGACTCGATTCCGTGATTCATCCCCGCCGCTGTAATAGCTCCGGTCTGGAAAAAAAGACCTCCATCACCGCTGCCAGTCGTCGCTCTTTCGCGCAAAGTGGACGGTGATCTAAAAATTGCGAGGGAATAAGCGATTCGCGGATAAATATGGAGACAATAGTTATCAATAGCACTTCGTACGTACCGTTGCTTGGTCCGTGCGTAGGGCTTTCGGGACAGTCCGTTCATCTGATGGCGAGCTGCCAAGCAGACACAATCCATACTATAAATACTGCTGCACATCACTGTCCCATCCTGGCGCACTGTAGCTTACCAGTTCGTTCCGTATCGTTCTGTTCCGTACGACTGCTTTCCTTCGGCAACTTTTCGCACGCGAGATTTCGCTCCATGCTTCCTTAATATGATCAAAACGAACACGTTAACACGTTGAAACACTTGACTCATAAGCGTTTTGCTTCAGCTAGAAAAGACCTTGCTTAACAAAAATTGACTACGATTCATCGCTATATAAGAAGATTTTAACAAAAGTATAATAGATTTTAATAAAAATAAAGTTTAACATATAGAAATTTATTGGCAAAGTATTACACAAAATCTCCATTTATATAAAAGCATAGAAGATAAAATAGAAAAAAAATAATTAGCGATTCAAATAATTCTTCACAGTTTTAGATATTGAAATTTAGAATCAATTTTATGAAATTTGTTTAATATAGAGTTCCCATGGAAGACTGGACTCGTTAGTTTTAAATATCATTGGTAAATTATTAAAAAAAATCAATATTAATCAATAAAATTATTGAATGAAACAAGATTCAGACAATTCGTCTGCAACGATCAGTTTACATACGATGATCAAGGAATTTATGTTTGCCGTGAAAAAATTTGTATGCGGCAACGTGTTAATGTAATCATCACGGAAGCTATCAAGCTTCGCGATTATTTTTGAAATGGGGTGGATGTATAAATTCTCGTGTATAATGTATTACGCCGTAGGACTCTAGAGTTAATGGCGGCCGTTTATTCGACTCGCGCCCAGACTGAAAGTGGTCGATATTGGTTTTCAGTGTGCAGAGCAGTCTCTCCGAAGAGACGGGACATTGCGAGCGAAATCAATCGTTTTAATATGACGCAAGTAAAAACATTAGCGGTACATTAAGAGAGAGAAAGAGAGATGGAGGGGAGGGGGAGGAAAAAAAGAGAAAGAGAGAAAATGCGGCGACGGAAAACGGAAGTGGGGTAAAACGGGAATACACAGAAGGGACAAGCGAAGGAGAAGAGAAAAAAAGAGGAGAGCAGAAAAATGGAGAAAGAAAAAGCAGTGGCAGGAGAAACGTTTATTGGACGTTATTAAATATAATGCCGCGAGGCGTGTCCCCCTTCGGGAGAGTTTTCCGATAACTTCGTAATTTGCTAAAAGGATCCCAGCTACGGGACTTTTAAGATGTACCGCTTCCTCCGTGATGTCTCCTTTCGGTCTACTATTTGTTTTCCAACAAGGTTTGTTACCAAGCTCTCTAAACAATGTAACATCATATGTTCTACTTTTTTCCTCTCTGTTTTAAAGAGGAATCATCGAGCGACATAGCGGTTACATTTTTTTTACGATGCACGTTCGTGGCACTAATTTGTTTAGCATATTGACCATATCGGGTTAGTTTAATCTTTTCGAGTCTAACGGATTAATACATATCCAGCTGAGACGATCTTACAACAATAGTATAATTCGAATGTATCAATTTTAATGCTATTATCGAATTATACTTTATTCTATCCAATCTGATTTGCCCAATAATCATACCGCTTATCATAATTGATCACGGTTGGGATTCAAATAATTTCTGAGTGAAATATTGATACCACGCTGATAACGTCGTGTGGTTATTAGGTCTTCTCGGATGTTCACATTTAGCGAAAGATAGGTACACATGCAAACGAGCCCCGTTGATGCTCCGACTAAGAGCCATGGCGTGTCATCCTAATGGCAGCGTCGGCGAGTGAAATTTACTTGAAAATCGCGTTAGTCGCGAAGTTTCGGCCGTCTAGTATTTCCGGCGGAGATTATCGCGAAAGGGACTTCTTGCTGCACAACGACGTGCTCTCAAATTGAATTGAGATTACGGCGGCACGCCCTGCTTCATGCACGCGTATCCTCTTCCTTGAGGTGGCATGGCGGTTTCGTACGCGGATGTAATACGGTGAATGCATCTCATCCAACGTCAAGTCCACTGAATACGACTATCGATCTTCGATATGCAGTACCTATCTCGAGTGTGTCATTTCTTTAATTTTCTAGATAAATTATTTCATGTGCGACCATGTTTTCCGTTTCAACTTAATAATAATAATAACGTTTTATTATTATTTTAAAATGTAATAATTCATTATTTAAAATTTAAGCACACATAATTGAATTATTCGTGTTCTATGCATTTTTTTTAAATACTAGGAGAGCACCACAAGTAATTAGTTATAATATTTATACGTAATTTTTTTAATACACAAGCTTATAAATATTTTATAAAATATTAAAGTATATGTAAGAATAATTTAATAATTTTTGTAAAAATAATGAAAATTAAGATATATGAACCCATCATGTGTATAGTGAAGGAAAATTATCGTGTGTGTTATACTAATTACAAAATTTAAATGAGAACATAAATGAAGTAGAGAATATTAAAAAGTAAAGCATCAACAATAATGCTACACATAAGCATATATAATAATAACAATACATTTCATCGATTGCATTTGATATAAACTTTTTAATAATTAATGTTAAACAACCTATCTTTTAAAATCGTAATGTCACAACTAGGAAATGAATGCCTTAAATAAACGATTAATATTATATACAGATAATATTTTTTACAGTAAAATTATTTGTAAATCTTAAGACGCTTATCTCTCGACATTAGATTATTTCGATAAAATGCCTATAAGCATCAATATTATTAAATTGCTTGTCAAGTTATGATATAACTGTTCCTGTTTTGTTAGGATTGCGTTTCAAGACTGAAAATTAAATTCGCGCAGTTTACAGGATTGGATATATATGTCAAATTCACATTGAATTATTTAACTATTATTATTTAAAGATTTAGCTTAATTGTTTATAACATTCATTTCCTTGTTCTTTTTAATAATTATTTTCAATGATGCAGTTTCGCAATTAATTTCTACATTTTTTTTCATACCGCGAGGCAATACAAGCGCTAGCTTTGACAGGGAAGAGTTATGGCTTCATCGTTACAGATAAGTGAACGGTAATTATTCGTCGGAGCGTGTCTTACTCGGGATACGAGGGTAGGTTACAGGTAACGGGACACGTCATAGAACTTCGTGATCCGCCCCGGCTGCATCTAGTAGATCGGTTATCACTTTGGAGGCTTAGCCAAGGATCCGTGCAAATTGAGCGCCATATCCACCCCGTCTTAAGGTACTTCGTGTACCGCCTCTTTGAGATTCTGGAATTTGCGCTCTGCGGGGTGTGAGAGCAAGCGGATAAGTGGATATACCTCGACTTAATCGATTATCCATCCTGCCGTGCGACGAACGCATCCTCCCGAGATATTTGCAACACGTCGATGTGTTTACCTACACAACGTCGTGCTAGATTTAAAATTAGTTAGTTCTCTCTCTCTCTCTCTCTCTCTCTCTCTCTCTCTACGACCATCGCGACATGCTAACAGGACCCCGATTTAAACCATCTCCGGCCGCAATGATTAAACACCTCAATTTCCTTCCTTCCGTCCTCTCTTCCTTTTTATTTTTAATCCGCTGTTCTATTTCATCTTGTAGGAAGTCGCAAATTCTAGAGAAGCCTGTATACAGTGCGAATTATTACGATCTAACGTTTAATATATTAAGTCTTCAACCATTTTACGTCTCGTTGAGACATCCGTCGCATCCCCACATCTCGTCTTTAATCGAGAGCCTGTGAAACATTCGCTAAATACGGTAAACGATGTTTAATATAGCCAGGATTTCTTTACATAATCGACGATTTTTTTACTTTTCTCTTATTGAAGAAATTTGTTTAAATTAATTATAATACCAATGAATATCTGAATTCAATTTTTATGCTATTTGCTTTTATTATTTTCGATTACTGTTTAATTTTTATCTCGTGTTGAATTTGCCTTAACGAGAGAGACAGTTCATTTCATCCACGGAGGAAAATTCGACACAGTATCCGAGAATGTGTAGTGAACGCGAAACAATGTACGTCTGCTACAAGTTCGAGGATGCAGGCAAATTCCTCGGCGGCGTTATCATTCTCGCAGCTTTCCTGCTTCCTCCATGGTGACTTTAGTTGAGCAAACGGTGACTTCAAAGAACCCCTTTATTCTGAAGTGTTTCGTTGTAACTCTAAGCGTCACGATATGAAAGAACTGGAAAATTTATTTATTCAAATATTCATCGACTCAGATTACATAATCCATTACATTTTAGGTATTGTATAGAATGGAAAAATAAATTTTATGCCGAACGTTTCAATATTCGTCATATTCTTTTTTACCTAATTTCTTGAGTGATTATATTTCTTCTATTAATATTTCTCTTGTTTGATTGGTATTTTATTTGTCACAAAATAATATCATTACATTTGTTTAGGAGAATAGAAATTTAATTTAACTGGTCTAATCAACTCATATTAAAATTTCTCGGCTGGAAAATAATTTTTTTAGAATGACCCCACTTTCGTCATGTATGCAATGACATAGATATTTATTGGTTGCATCCTCTAATTCGTTACTCGAGCGAAGCTGAATGCACGCGATCGAACGAATGGAGGTTGCGTCTGTATTGTATTATTGTATTATCGTCCACGTGCGACTCTTGGATACCATCGTGCATCGACGAAAATCCGACATTGTTTCCGCGTTATCCGAAGTGCAAGCAGGCTAACTTTGGACTAATAAACTTTGAACCAAGCGCGAAATAGCATGATACACGACAGAGAGTCGCTTGGAATGCAAATTCACGCTCGGGCAACTGGAAGTCGAATGGCGAATGGAAAATTCTAATATAATAGTAACCACTAATCCCGTCAGTAAGTCTGTATTTGTTCAGCTATGTAAGTATTTTACAAGTATGAGCCATTGACATGTTACAAGTGAAATATTTTTGTAAAGGCCAAATATGAAAAGATAGAACATTAAATTATTATTTAATAAATTATTGTTACATTAAATAAGTATGTATTGTTTAAATGTATAATTCATAGAACGTTTCACTTAAAATTATGTTACTGCAAAAGAAGAATAAGCTAATAGAACCTATACTTTTATATCTTAGTTCTTTAAATTAAAAAATATTTTAGTAATATCAAAATTGTAATTAAGCGTTTTAAGAAAATATTAAAATTATATATATAATATTTTGATA